AAACATTTATTATATACTTAAAATAAGAATTTATTTTCTTTTGAAAAGTATTATAAAATTAATCGAAGAAGTGACTTCATATAATAAAAATATGTTTTAATTATCTCAATAATCTTAACTGAAGTATTAAATTATCATAGAATTCAGAATATATTTTGAATAAATTTAGTGTTTGTGATGAACTTATGATATTCCCTAAAATCTTTTAGGGGGAGTGGAATCTAATTCTAAAGAATGATAATTGAGTCAGTATTGAAAAAGAATGGCTCAATTGATAATTTTTAAAAATGAAATTTACAGTTAGATTCCACTCCAAAAATTTTAAAGAGTACATTTATGAATATATAAACTTTTAAAGTTAAAACAAGTAATTATTACTTGTGTACAGTATGTATTTTTCTGTACGTATAAATCGATTCTGTAAACGTTACAAGGTCAACTTAAGTCAACAATTTTCCTTGTTTCGCTCACCTATGAACTGGCATATCTCCCGAAGCAACAATTTTACATTCATCGCCTCTTCGAATTTCGTTGTGTCCTTTGGTGTATTTGCCAAACACTTTTCCAGCGTGTCCAGAACGATAATGATGGACTCCTGCCGATCTTGCTCTTTGGATTGGAACGGCCGCTGACTGCTCGTGCTCGGTGTAAGCTCATTGACTCGCTGCAGCATCTTCGTAAGACCAGATATAACGAGAGAGAAACGGAACCGAGAGATCTCTATTAGACATCTCTTGCTCCTCTTTTCGTTCACCCGAGAATGAGGACTTTCGGGACCGGAACGACATGGCAGCTGTATTCAAAGAAGTGATCTCTTAGACAAAGATAAACTAACAAAAAATGTACAATGTAACAAAAATAATTTAAGTATGTATGTTGAGTAGTGAGTATTGTTGGATGAATCCATTTTCGTCTCCCGTGGGAGATTATCAGGATGGAGGACCATGAAAGAGGCATTAAAAGTGAAACAGAAAAATCTTCGGAATAATGGTGCCGACAAATTGCCTGGACATTGGGAAACATCAATTTATATACTCGTTCGGCTCAATCGATTCCGATATTTCCCTTTTATTCGGCGTATCGGGCAGCGCGGTTGAGTTGTGCGTACAGGGAATGCAACTTTCATTCATGGATATACCCATCCCATTCATCGACTTGTATCAAACGTACGAACAGTAAGAGAATTCTTTCTTTTTTTACTGTCATTTTTGCGGGGATGGGCAGACACGAGTGCAGAATCTTGTCCTATAACTTATTTGATATACTCGGAGATTGATTGTCGAATATCGTTCTTAATATATCACGAATAAAGTGCTCTACACGAATTTATATATCGCTTGTAAATAACGGATTTCGTAATTGGAGCACACAAACACATAAAAGCATTTCCTCAATTATATTATTCTCACGCTAATCAACGAAATAGCGTTCGTGAATCATAAATGCTCGTTGCTACCATTGCTACTACTGTAGATTATTTTTAACTTTGGTTTAACTTATTTTTCATCTTTATCTCTCTATTTCTAAGAAATAAAAAAGGATAAAGAGCAAATTAAAACGAGATTCAAGTTAAACTATGTTGGTAGAAGTGGACAAAAGTCACACGAGCTTACACTTCGCACCCCTTAATAGATACGTTACTGTATATACACCTTGATTGAGCTGCTCTTACGAGGTTGACTGGAGGCGGAGGGGGCGAAGGTCAAACCGCACGAGGGGGAGGAGGGGCCATCTTTGCAAGAATGCATCTTTTCATGAATGAACGAATCAAGGAGGGAAGGAACGACATCGTATTCTCGGGCACGGTGATACCCCCCCATTTTATCGATACGCGCTTAAAATATATCATCGTCTAGCACGATTATAGACGATTGTTTCTTTTTTTTTCTTGGAAAAGATAAATCATAGGTATTCGAAAAACCTGTTCAGTTCGATTCTTTTAGTCACGTCTATTGACAAACATTAGATCAACGATTATCACATGATGGTTTAATAATAGGAAATCTAACATGTGATACCTCGAAATTGTATCAGACTTAGAGAATTAAATAAGATAAGATAAATTGTAATAATACTTTGATTAATAGGTTGTTCTATATTCCGTCAATTTCTGTAAATATTTATAAAATATATATATTCTGTAAATATTATTTAATATTTGATTTATGTAAGTAAATCTATCTTTTATACTTATTTAAATATAAGATTCTGATGTGCCACTCTTCATTACAATAATATTCCAAAATTTTCGATTAAATTTTATTATTTCATCTTTGTCTTTATTGTTCAAAAATTAAATATTAAATGATCGATTTCCTTATAAAATTTAATTTATATCATAAAAGTCGCACGCAATACAATTTATACATGTAGAGATATCTTGTAAATAAACATAAAGCAATAGGAATCTCAGAAAAAAACCTATGAAATATTGACACAAGATACAGATAATTACAAACAATCTTCCTTATGTCTACATAACGATGCCTTGAAAATATTATAACATATAGTAATTGCCATTATATTCTAAATATTTGAGCAGTTGATGAGGATGATCTCTAATCATCTACATCCTTGAATTATTATTTCTTATGCCGTGCTCGCTCCAAATATCGTACACATTCCTGATACCTAATTCTCAAGTTCAAATTCAGCACGTATTAGGAGACAACGTTGACCAACTCATAAAACCGACTATCAGTCGCATCCTTCATTCTTGCAGTCGTTGTTTCAGAAAGTCCGAACATTTGTTCGAGAAAAATCATCCACTACCCCGCGTATCACAACGAGCGATAGAGCTCGAAATTCGATACCCGGAGAACGGGGGGCGCGAGTACGGCGGCGAGTAACGACGCCGACGATACCGGTGTAATCCCAAGACGCACCCATGAAAGGCGTTGACGAGGAATCGACGAGCAAACGGGCAAGTACCGTAAATGCATCGTGGATGTGACATAGAGGAAAGAGGAGAAGGAGGAGGAGAAGGAGGTGGTGGCCGTACACCGGAAGAGGGTGGCGAGAGCGAGACGGATCGAGAGGAAAAGAGAAAGAGAAGGAGAAGGAGAGGACGAGCACAAAACGAAACGATCAGGAAACGAAGACAAGAAGATCGACGCTTCTCGCATCGAAGCATTGCTAATCGCCCACCTGATCCTCGAAACGCGTGATCACTAAATTCGCCCATTCCCCGGGCTTTTGCGTCCCCATTTCCGTCCGAGGTTCACTGACAGGCCGTTACCACGTACCACGAATCGCTAGCTCGCTACGAGCTGCGACCTTACGTCATCATTTATGAACGTTGACTGAACGACCATCACCGCAGATCTCCGAATCGCCCCCGTTGGGAGGGGCACTTATGGTGGTAGGGCAACGAAGATGATCGAGTACAGTCGGAGGTATACGACCACCTCACCGACGCACCAATTGTGCGCTATGTGTTCAGGAATGTAGCAACAAACCGAAGGATCCGTTATATAAGAAATATATTCTTTAGATTCTATTCTTTAGAAAAGAAGTTTTGCTTCTAAAATAAAAAAGAAAGAGAAGAAAAATTGACAATTTTGATTACAATATAATTTTCAAACATCAATACAATTCTATTTTATATTACATTTTCTTCATGGCTATTTGCTTGTTTAAGCATTCACTCTTCGTTAAAGCATTCACTCTTTTTATCTTATGATTTTGTACAATTTTATTACGTTATATTAATTGTGCTGTTTCAAACGATAAAATTTTCTTATTCATTGGGGAGAATGTTACAATTAATTATATACAAGTAATCTATTGAGAAACTACAGGGGATGATAACTTCGTACATCCCTGATTCGGTCAACGCTGGTGCACGATCACCCCTCCTTGCAACCACGTCATTCATAACTGTGCAACACTGCCTTGTACCCGGGACAATTGTCCGTACGAAAATTCGATCACGTTAAGTGCGATATTGCAACGTGGATGTCCTTTCATATGCTCCATTTTGGTCAATACATTAAAAAGTCACAATCTCTATTCTATAATCTTCGCCAAATTTATATGCGTAATTACTTTTAAAAATTAACATATCATATAATTATATTGTTCATTTTTATAGATATTTATTAAGAAATAATATAATATGTTATGTAATAAAATTTGAAAAATTTAAATACAATAATTATATATAAGATAA